GTTGGTCAGCTTCAGGGACCATTGATTTCATATGCCAGCGGTGTTACCAAAGATCCACCATCTTCCTGTCCTTTTGGCTGCACTATCCATAATTCACCTTATCCAGAGGGTAATCACAGAGCTCTGAGCTTTTGCCTTCTTGTCCATATCCAACAGAGGGAGTGAGCTATCTCCCCAAGCATGGAGCGTGTTTATGCAGGCTGAGGGGGCCATTCTCAGACTAGTAACACTGGACTATTAAATCAAGGGGCAGGTTGATCTGCTGCTGAATTAACCTGTTGGAGCTAGATTACATTCCTGAACATGGTCAGAGTTCCATTAGGAAGAAGAAAGGGGGAAATGGATTGTGGATAAGCAACCAACAGAAATCATTAACAGTATCAACAGTAGCAATGGGGGAGAAAATACTCTCAGGACCATGTGGTTTAGAGTCAATTTTTGATCGGAAAACGTTTGTGATAACTAGATAGAAGTATTTATTTATGGCAGGAGCTGCATAACTTTGAGTTTCAACTGAAACCTAATGTCATTTCCTCCATAATCATTAACATATAAGTGCCCAACCTTTTCCGAACTTCTTGGTGACCCAGTCCTAACATGATACCTTGCAGAATTAAGTAGCTTAATTTGTAACATGGACTAGAATTTTAATTGAGCTGCATTTGCATCTGTTGAAAACATGGTAATTAGGTATGTTTTAATTGCAGAATGACGGTGCTGCATTAAAGAGAAATGAGCAGCTTCACGTTAAACCTTCTTCAGAAAGAGAAACTTAAAGTATCTGCCTTCCTAGGTAATCACGTGGGAAAGTTCAGTGCATAGAGCAAGTTAAAATAGGCAGAAGTGTTAGTCAAAAACAGAAATTTCTGTTTGGAAGGGGTAATCATCTTTCTTTGTGTAGGTTATCTGCAGAAGGAAATCAAATAATCTGTAAAGATGAAGAAAATTAAAGAGAAAAAACATAAAACTTAGCATTTAAATAGATCATCTAAATGTAAGTTTAGGATTAGTTCTTGCATTGTAATTTACGGCAGGAACACAATCGATCAAGCCATTTACTGCTAATATATTGCCAGTACTTTTCTTACTTGAAAAATTGTTTATATGAATTTTTTTGTTTTTTTAAGTTTGAGGGAATAAAAGTATTTTATGTACCTTATTATAAAGGTGGTATTAAATGTACAAAGATTGGTTGTAAAACTTTAAAAAAAATAATCTGACCAGTATTATCAGTGACTTTGAATATACATATTTAAAACAATTATACATGTGTAACCAATTTATTTAAGCTTTTGATAACCACCATAATTCTGCATGGGGACAGGGTCAAGTGAGAGATTCTTATTTTTTTCTATCAAATAATTTTAGAGTTCGAAGTATATATACTTTGATACTCTAAAAGAACATCTTATGTTTGTACATATGAAGCCACATATTGCTAAATATTTTTAATTATTTGGCATTCGGAGGGATTAGTTAAATCGGTACACCCCCAGAAGAGTTTCTGTGATAATGTAATATCTAAATTAGAATGTTCCGAATAAGCATAAAGAATTCTCAAACGTGCAAGTATCATTTTAAAACAGTCCACTTGCTTGGGGTAGGAAAGGGAGCAAGAATTTTTGATTTTATAAAATGAGGTTACAAAACCCGAAGTTAATAAATAATTTAATACTAATTTTCTCTGTTTCACCCAATTTAGAAAATAAGTTGTATTACATACACCAGAAAATTATTGTGAATATGAAAAGAATTGGCAACAAATCTGACTTCAGCATATAGTCAGTTGTGAAGGCACTGCCTTTATTCTGTTACTAAGCCAGGAGCAGACATATGCCCCTTGTACTTCTGCCAAAACTATTAGGCAGAAAACTAGCAGAATGGCTACTGATACTTCCATTCATGATTTATGATAATGGTTGCTGTGGAAGACTAAGTCATTTACATTTATTGAGCTCATTTTTTTGTTTATAGTTTCAGATATTGTAGAGGGTTCTAAAATCCATTAGACGACACATATAGCACTAACAATAATCGCATAAAAAGATACCAGAAACTGAGGAGGGGGAAACCAAGTACAATGAGCCTTCCCCATGTTGTAGTTGGGGTGTGGCTAGTTTTGTCAGGCTTGATTAGAGGAAAGTAGGCATTGTTCTAAAACTCAAGGAATGGGGATACCCAGAGATTGGAGAAGAGTTTGTTTGGTTGGGATAAAGTCATGAGTCAGGTTTACCCACAGTCTTTCATCTGCTGTCTGCGTCTGCCTGGCAGTCCTCATTTTAGAAGAAGTTTAGAGAATGGGAGGCAGACATATAATCGTATCGTACGGGGAGGGCGGTTTTAATAAAAGTTACCAAGAGTTATAAAGTATAGGTAAAAAGAAGTTTGCATGTTGGGAATTTTAGAAAATTCACTAGCATCCATTTATCTACCTTGAGCATACCAACAGACCTAGGTTTTATAGTTCCGGAGAACTTACGAGAATTGCTTTATAATGGTTTGGATGATTGTCTCAAAGATGAGGCCACACCTGTTTTCCAAAGGGTTGAAGCAGCAGTTGGCGATCAGACGGAGCACAGCCATGTTTACGGGTGTCAGACAAGGTGCTTCAACCCTGCTAAGGCTATATTTATGCTCTCTCAGGAGACTCATGTGTGAAAAGGTACATATAATTAGCATGTCTTTGGGCTAGTTGACCAGGATATTCTTTCACTGCTCTGTGTAGACCACAAAAAAGTATAGCCTTAACTCAGCATTTATTTGTAAGGCTAGTGATTTTCACTAGCAGTGCCCATCTGAAAGTTGTAACAGGCTTTCTCTATCAAATCTGTGTCATTCCTATTTATATATTAACTGAGAGGAAAAACAAATTTTTAAAAATCTACCACGCCCTTTGGAGTAGGAGAGTGGTTCACAAGTAGATAACCCTGTGCAGAAGGAGGCAGACCTTTCTAAAGTCATTTCTGTGGTTGCTAACCAGTCCTAGAGTTTTGTGTGCATTTGATCTGGCTTCTTTAGTGATTTCATCAGTATTAACCACGAGTCACGGCATTAAATGAATACATAGGATTGACAATAGGTTTCTGAAATACAATGCTGACAGCTGGAATTATCTTCTGGGCAGATTGTGTAGTGACTGGGTGATAGATTACTTCGATGTGTGTTGTGTGAAGCATGGAATTGAGCAATCACAAACAGTCGATGAAAAGAAATGCATGAAGGTCTTGCTGAAGTGCAACTGTATGGGACATAATACTAGAAAGAGCCCTGGACTGGGAGTATGCTGGCCCCAAACCTTTATGTTTCCTCAGCAAGAAATGGAAGGTATCGGTCTAAATGACCTCTGAAGCACCTTCTGGATTTAGACATGGCGATGCTTTTATTCTTGAGCTGTACGAAGGCATGACCTGCTGGCATGAGAAATATGTTGGCTCATGTTTTCAACCAAATGTGCCAACAAAAGGAATTGGTATTATGCTAAGTAGCTGGCATTTTTTTTTTGAACTGTATTACTTTGAAGTGGTCATGCCATTACTGATAATCTTTTTCTCAGATTTGTGAGGGTTTAATAGCAGAACACTAAGATACTGAGATTGTTTTAACTGGTCTTATTATACTTTGGTACTGTGTATTACTAACTCAAGTGTCCCTTGGTGGTGGAGAGGCAAGACTGAACTTCACTTGAAGATATATTAACTTGACTTAGAGGTCAGTTCTTTGTGAAATATTGGGAAGAGGCTTAACTGTTCTATTTGGTTCTGTGTTAGGAGACGCTCAAAAACATTGATTCATACTTTATTTGTTGATGCAGGAGAATAAAATGACCTCAGAAGTCAAAGGATAATCTGAAGCCCTGATAATTCTTACTCTGTTTGGAAGAAAATCTTAGGCAACCAATCTCAGAAAAGATTAATGAGAGTGGCTGCTAATATGTTCATATATTGTTTCTCACTTAATATAGAAATTCTTAAAATTCTTTTGGTAGGTGGAAACATCATACCCTAGTTACTTGTCATTCTTTCAAATCAAAAAGTTTGGGGTATTGAAGTGCCCTTGAACCATATGCTTGCCAAGTGTTGGTTCAAAGAATAGAATATCATTATCAATAAGTAGGTCTTGTATCTGCAAACTTCAGGGGAGTGTGAGGTTATTGATTTACACATTTTCATGGTTTTATCCATTTTTGTTTCCTTGTCATTGTGTAGATGGACATGCAGAGTTATTTAGGATTAGAAGATACAGTAGCATTTGCTTATGATGTTAGCCTTATGTAATGACAGTATGAGGAAAAGTTGCAGAGACTGTAAAGATCCAGTTGTCTGTGTGCAGAAATCACAAATGGACATATTTGGGAGCCTGAAGAAAGAAGTCCTTGTGCTAGTATTGGTGTGCTTACTAGTGAATGGTGTAGTCTCACAAATTAATAAGGGGCCAGAGTGGATCTACATTATCCTTACCCATGAGGAAAGAAAGCACTTGAGGAGGGGCTGCTTGTTTTCTTTGCATCTTGCAAGTACAGAACACAGGGTCTATGCTGTGTGATAAGGACCTACTAATCCCTCCAGCAGTGCATGGCTGCATCAAGGAGGATGTTAACCCTAGTGAAAGAATCAGTATCTGGCCAGGAAGCTGCTTCTCTCTTACCATTGGCACATGATCTTCACATAGGAATACCCATGTGCTTGGTAGTCATCCACATCACATGTTCAATTCTAATTCTCCTCAAAAGTAAATAGCACAGGGGTGCCTGGCTGGCTCAGTCAGAAGAGCATGTGACTATCTCAGGGTTGTGAGTTCAAGCCCCACGTTGGGTGTGGAGATTACTTAAATAAATAAAAACTTAAAAAGTCAATAGCTTTGCAATCCACGTTGATAGCAGGGCTGAACAACGGTAGAAAATGTGGGAAAGCAAAATCTGCACATATATTTTAGCCTCCTTCACTTTGTTCTTTTGGTTCATTGTATTCCTTATCCATTTTTGTTTTTGTTTCCCTTCCAAGTGGAAGAAGACACAGAAGAAAGTTCAAGATCAGGGAGAGAGTCTGTATCCACAGCCAGTGATCAGCCTTCACATTCTTTGGAGAGACACATGAATGGAAACCAAGAGAAAGGCGATAAGATGGATAGGAGAAAGGAGAAAGCTGGCAAAGAGAAGAAGAAAGACCGAGACAAGGAGAAAGAGAAAATGAAAGCCAAGAAGGGAATGCTGAAGGGCTTGGGAGACATGTTCAGGTAAGTCTTTACCAACCCAGAGCGGATCATCCCTAGACATCCGTGAGTGTGAGCTTAATACAGAATTCTACGAGCCCAGATTTGAAAATGTTATCTTTGAGGGCAACCAAAAATGTTTTCTAATGTTCATTCTTTGCTGTTGCACTTGTAATTTCTCAAGGATTTCACTTCAGTTATTTCAGACCATGGTAGCAGCCTTAAAGATGGTATCTTGCCAGCCACGTAAATAACCATGTGAGGAAGGAAGGACCAGTCTTCATGTTAGCTATGCTTGAGAGAAAGAGCCCCATGGAGACAAAGGGCTGTTAAAGCGGTCTGTGTTCTTTTGTGTGTGTGAACAATGGTTCATTATTTAAATTTAACATAGAGCTCAAGTTAGTGGCAGCATTTAGAGGTTTATTAATAACAAGTCTAATAAAAAATGTTACAAATATAGCTTCAATTAAGCTGTGTTGATTAATTTAAGACCTATTACTTAAGTCTGTAAAGATTTCATTCAATGTAGGCTCTGGCTGTTTCCTGACACTTGTTTTTGTGTCCCTAAATTATGCTCCGGGATTACTTAGCATATCGTTTTTTACAAATCATTGCTCCACAGTAAAAGTGACAAGTTGTTCAGAAGTTGCACTGAAACTCTCCCATAAATGTTCATCTAAGATGATTTATAATATTCAGGCATTTAATGTTAAATATAAAGGTTGCTCAATTGTTCCATAAATTAAACCCCTAAACATATCAAGACGATGGTTTCAAATTAAAAACATACAGCACAGCCACTTGACTCTTCAAAAAGTAGTTGCCCTGTATTAGGAATCCCTTCCTTTTAACTTTTTTTTAATTGCAAAATGTGAACAAGAGTTTTTATTTTCTTGGAATTTCTTGATTTATGATCCTGAGGTTGACCTCAATAACTCAGGGAGTTAAAGATATGTCAAGCCTGCAAAGTTGAGGACTAGGGGCCCAGCCTGCAGGCCACACAACACAACAGATGTGCTCTGTACATGTCTGATTAAGTTGAGTGCATGGAAGCAGTAGACTATAGACCTAGATAAAACAAAGCCTGGTCTATTGGTGGCATTAGCTTTCATTTAAATACAATGTGAGTTCCATCTCTGATGCTTCAAAGCATTGGGACTTTCATAGTTTTACATTAGAGTTTTTCTTGTTTATGTACTACTCCTGAGTGCTTTTTCAGTCAGATTGTCTTTCTTCCTTATATGCTGTGTCCAAGAACACCTATGGGATGCAGTTGCTCTAACGGCCACTTTATTTCAGTTTCTGTGCTAGCCAGGGGGCTTTTCTTTCTGTATATGCAGACTGACAGCTCATAAGTTGGCACCTGCGTAACACACGACATAAGGCCCTTGCCCATCAATTAAAGTTTAAGAACTGTGTACTACTATCTTCTTTAAATTAGAGAATACGAGATGGGAGGGTACCTTCCCTGAGACTTACACATCCAACAAGTAGTGTGGTCTTGTTTCCAGGTGTCCTACTGAAGTCGCATTGAAAGCCAATGGCCTCTTAGTTTTCCTCCTTTGTCAGCCAACATTTATCTTGACAGATTACAGTGCTCTGTTCTTCTCATGGAATAAAAAAAATAAGCAAATTTCTGGTGTGTCTTTATAAAATATGTTATAAATTATTTTCATTATAAATTGTTTTTTTCTGTAATTTACAACTCCAGAGTAAGAGAGGGTTTATGGTAGAGTTTTTCCTTTCGGGGGCCAGAAGAGTGGACAGTGTGGGGGCCATGAGGACCTGTATGTTTCAGAGGGACCCTGAATTGTAACTCAAGAACCACCTTGTTGCTAAAAGTTCTGTAAAATACTATATGATGTTTTCTCTAGACCAAATTCTATGGGTTATACCTGCACCCTGTAGTGAAAGCCAGCCTTGTGATAATTGTAATTTCAAAGGCCTGCATATTTTCGAAAACTAACTTCTTTGTTTAGGTGCAGGAGCTAAAGGGTTTTTCCCCCCCTAAAAAATTAGCTTGTATTCTCCCAGTGTTTAAGAATAGCTATTAAAGAAAATCACTGACATTCATACTTTTTTGGGAACATAGCATCAGTGGTTTGCTAGAATTAGCCCACATTGGCTTCTGAGAGCCAGTTGCTCAATGTTTAGAAATGTTGCCAAATGGTTGTTAAACACAGCCATTATAAAAATTAAGTAAGTTTTATGAAAATCAAAAGCAGTACTCAAAATTTACCAGTTCCTAATTATTTTATCACATTTTACCACAATATCTGCGTTTGAGGTTATTTACCCCTCTTGCATTGGCACGGTGCTAACACTTTACGCGGGGGCACCAAAACGGCTCTCACCAGCTCTACCTTTAAGACATAATGCTGCTGGTTGAATGTGAGCCGTGTTGGGAGAACTTACACCATGGAAGTGTATGAGTTCCACAAAACAGAGCCACTTCTCCTAGGAGAACAAGATGCCACCAAGTGAAGAATGTAAATCTCTCTTAAGCAGAGTCTCAGTATCTTGTCTAGTTTCCTTGACCATGGCTGTCTTCCATCTGGGTACAAACCACTGCCTCAGTCCTTTGGGAAATGGTTGTAGCTTGCCAAACACTTCTCCTTGAAAATCATCTGAGAATAATTTATTAAACATAAAATAAGCTTTTTGTCTGATTGATTCTTGGCTCTTAATCCTTCACACCATTATATTATGTTCTTCGTATTGGAGAAGACTCTTAAAGCGTTGTTAGATTTTTCAAAACATTTTGTAACTACCTCTCATACTTACTGGATCTCACTGTTCGAGACTAATACACTCTCAGATTGGTTCTTTTATGTTTTTTTTTTTTTTAATAACGGGAATGTAGTCCGATTTTAAAATTAGTTTTTCCTTTCTTTTTGTTCTCTTATGGAGAATAGCATGTGATTTCCTTAGCAGTGTTGCTTTTAAATAGCTTAATCAAAATGTGTACGCGCATATACATTTCTTAGGACCGTTTGTAAGGAGGTTCGAGTGCGGCTGCCCGACATAGGCCTGAAGTACAAAGCAGGGACGTGCGTGTGTCTGTGTGAGAGCATGTGCGTTTGTGCATGTGTTGTTATGATTTTGTTTCTGTGTTTTGGTTCAGATAACAGAAAGAAAAAGCTAAGGGTCAGGGACATTAGATATTGGGAGTCTAACTTTTTGAGCATATGAGCTTTCTCTCTTTAGTTGCTCGAGGAGGTAATAATATGTTTTCCTTTAAAAACAGGCTCACCGGCTCTCCTCACCATCTCCCTCCACAGCCCCCCCGCAAACACACACACACTCTCTTCCTCCCCCTATAGATTGTCTGTGATTTTGGGTTCAATTTGAAGAGGGCCAAATATACGGACCCTGTTTTTAAAAGGGCACCAGAGGAAACCATGGCACCTTGTGTAGGTATTTTTATTTATTGGTATATACAGATGACATAGTTTTCTATTTCACACATTGAATGGTAGTCACAAAGATGATTTAATTATTGATAAATAGCTCTAGGATAGAATGTTTTGAGTCATATGAATCACTCTTCTGTTTATAAATTATGGAGTATATGAAGTGCAAAAGCTGGTCTTAATGCACATTTTAAATCACAAATTTAAAGCTATAAGAAATCAAATAAATGTAAAGTGTTTTACGTTTGTATGAGTTTCTCATTGTAGATACTACATCTTCTTTTGCACATAAGGAACTCCTGTTGCCTTAATTAAAATGGCTTTGTAGCTAAGAAACCAGAGTGTGCTTACTAAATAGGTAAACATGACTTGTAAATGTAATCATTCTTTGTGCAAAGTGCAGAACAGAGGGAGGGTCTGGAATTTTGAGTCTTTGTTTATGTTTGATTCTCAGATGCTTGGCTATTCAAATTTAATACTATAAGATATTTTTGAGAATTCTGCAGTTGTATGAAATTGTCCTTAAAGAGGGAAGAAACTAAATCTGTCCTTTAGAAGGAGAGAGATCTATTATTTAATGTTTTAAAGTGTGTTCCTGTTTGAAGGAAAGCAACAGCATTATTCAGCAACATGCTTTGCCTGGTTTCCATCTTCAAATTGAAATAATCCACACAGTAATAAAACCCTGTATTAGGACAATATTCTCAGATAGTAAGTGTTAAAAATTATGTGTTGCCCTTTTTTTCAGCTCTGGAGTAAGTACAATTTGATATTGCTTTGCCTAAAAGATTAGAATACTTTTATTTTGAATGTAGAATTGTATCCATCTCAAACTGAAAGTTTCTTAGAAGTGACCTCACTGTGCACATCTCAGGTTCATTTTATGCTTTTGTCCATATGTGACCGCTGAGAACCTATCGCTATGGAAAGCTAAAGCAAAAGTAATGTTGCAATATTACCATTAAAACTGAATCCTCCAATTACACTTAAAATGATTACCTGGGTCCCTGCAGCCTTGTTTTATTTAGTTCTGTAAGAGGAAATAGGTAATTTAGTTTGAAACCTTGTTTGGTTGAAATCAGATACACTGCTATCTTTTCCCTTTTAGAATATGATAGTTTTCAGAACACAATGAACAAGATCAGATTTGAAGACTTAATGTTATAGCTTGGATTACACTCTTTAGGCTTTGAGAGAATAACAAACAGGAATGATTGTTGCTTCCCTTACGTGTACTTACTAACTGTGTGTCTGTACCGTGTTTCTCATTTAGCCTTGCCAAACTGAAGCCTGAGAAGAGATGAACAACAAACCAGATTCAAAAAGGTCTCGAGAAGCACATATTGCACAGTTGATTTTTAAACAAACAATAAATTTACTTTTAATGAATTCTTAGTGGCTGTTGACGAATTTTGTTTACGACATCAGCAGTTTCGATGGTTTGGTAATTTCCATATTAATCAATTTGGAACTTTTTCATCTTGATTTCGAGCTTGGGGGTTTAAATTACTGCTTGAAAAGGCAGAGAAGTGTTTTTTCCTCTCATTTTTATTAGCCCCTTTTCATAGTGAAAACCATAGTCTAGCTGCTGGCGTATTCAGAAATCATCAG